TGAGGTATGAGAAAACCAGGTATGATAGAGAAATGGGACAGGAGTCATTGCTGTAAACAACCGATGCTCGAAAGGCGAGATCCAAGAGTCAATGCTCGATCCTGCAGACACAACTAGGTGAGTACACAGAACTGTGCCTACCACTCTCCATAGTATATAACAAATCACTGGCAAGAAGGGAACTGCCAGAAATTTGGAAAGCAGCTAACATAGTCCCGATATACAAGAAAGGGGATAGACAGGAGGCACTGAACTACAGGCCAGTGTCCCTAACCTGCATACCATGCAAGCTGATGGAGAAGATTGTGCGAAGAAAGCTAGTGGAACATCTGGAGTGAAAGAACTTTGTAACACAGCATCAACATGGGTTCAGGGATGGCAGGTCCTGCCTCACAGGGTTACTTGAATTCTACGACCAGGCAACAAAAATAAGGCAAGAAAGAGAAGGGTGGGCAGACTGCATATTTTTGGATTGTCAGAAAGCCTTTGATACAGTGCCACACAAGAGGCTAGTGAAAAAGCTGGAGATGCCGGCTGGAGTGAAAGGTAAGGTACTCCATTGAGAACTATCAACATCAGAGGCCCGAGACTGTTCAACACGCTTCCACTACACATAAGGGACATAACTGGCCGACCCCTCACAGTGTTCAAGAGAGAACTATCAACATCAGAGGCCCGAGACTGTTCAACACACTTCCACTACACATAAGGGACATAACTGGCCGACCCCTCACAGTGTTCAAGAGAGAACTATCAACATCAGAGGCCCGAGACTGTTCAACACGCTTCCACTACACATAAGGGACATAACTGGCCGACCCCTCACAGTGTTCAAGAGAGAACTCGATAAACACCTCCAAAGGATACTTGATCAACCAGGCTGTGACTTATATGTCAGGCTGCGAGCAGCCGCGTCCAACAGCCTGCTTGACCAGTCCAGGCGTCAGCAACCAAGAGGTCAGGTCAGAGACCGGGCCGCGGGGACCTTGAGGTAAGGGTAGTGGTGGTATCTACAACCCTGTCTGTCTGTCTGTCTGTCTGTCTGTCTGTCTGTCTGTCTGTCTGTCTGTCTGTCTGTCTGTCTGTCACCCTCCCCCCCCCCCCCCTACACCCCTACAAGCTTCCAAATCCTCTTGCTAATCCTGCCTAAGCCCCCTGTCAGGAACCCTTGGTATAGTACCTCCACACCTGGCCACACCTGGGCCACATCTGGCCACACCTGGCCACACCTGGCCCACACCTGGTCCACACCTGATCCACACCTGGCCACACCTGGGCCACATCTGGCCACACCTGGCCACACCTGGCCCACACCTGGTCCACACCTGTCGTGTGTACGTCACCCCCCTCCTCACATATAGGCCTACTGTAGGCCCACATATAGGCCTACTACACTCTTGTAAGCATAGTAGCTGTTGAAGAGACTCGAACCTTTGATGGCTATAGAATTATCTCATTAATAATATTCCTCATATTAATACTATTCCATTTTATTATAATATTATCATAATATTCCAATATTATTATATCATAAATAATATTCCTAATAGTATTCCTTGTCAAGGAGCCTGACAGCTGGGTGGACAGCGCTTCGGATTCGTAGTCCTGAGGTTCCGGGTTCGATCCCCGGTGGAAGCGGAAACAAATGAGCAAAATGTTTCTTTTATCCTTATGCTCCTGGTAACTTAACAGTAAAATAGGTACCTGGGAGTTAGACAGCTGCTACGGGCTGCTTCCTGGGGGTGGAGGGCTGGTCGAGGACCGGGCCGCGGGGACGCTAAAGCCCCGAAATCACCTCAAGATCTCTCAACTAATAGGTCGCATTTTGGACGTTGTGGCAACGTTACAAAAGCAACGGCTCGCAAATATCTACGTTTTCTACGCATCGGACTCAATATCTTTGGTGGGTTATCTTGAGATGATTTCGGGGCTTAGTGTCCCCGCGGCCCGGTCCTCGACCAGGCCTCCTTTGTGTTACACACCTCCAGGAAGCAGCCCGTAGCAGCTGTCTAACTCCCAGGTACCTATTTACTGATAGGTGAACAGAAGTATCAGGGTGAAAGAAACTCTGCCATTTCGTTTCCGCCTTCACCGGGGATCGAACCAGGAAGCTCTGGAGTACGAATACCGAGCGCTGTCCACTCAGCCGTCAGACCATCGCTACACTTGAGGAGAATTTTGTGTGTAAATCTGTGTATATTACTTTAGCGTTCTGCTGACCATTCCTTCCCGCCGTCCCATCCCAAATCCTTATCCTGACCCCTTCCCAGTGTTATATAGTCGTAATGGCTTGGCGCTTTCCCACTGATAGTTCATTCATTGTCTTAATGGCAGCTGAGGCCATGTCTAAGACCCAACATGGCGCCTGTGTCTCACCCAGTACCGAGGGAGACCCAACATGGCGCCTGTGTCTCACCCAGTACCGAGGGAGACCCAACATGGCGCCTGTGCCTCACCCAGTACCGAGGGAGACCCAACATGGCGCCTGTGCCTCACCCAGTACCGAGGGAGACCCAACATGGCGCCTGTGTCTCACCCAGTACCGAGGGAGACCCAACATGGCGCCTGTGCCTCACCCAGTACCGAGGGAGACCCAACATGGCGCCTGTGTCTCACCCAGTACCGAGGGAGACCCAACATGGCGCCTGTGTCTCACCCAGTACCGTGGGAGACCCAACATGGCGCCTGTGTCAGCCCGCCCCTCACAGTAATCAGTATTCTGCCCACCTCTCCACACACACTTCGACCTAATAACTCTACACACACATTCCGTTTCACAGTAAATATGACAAAAATGTTGTTTGAGTTTCTGGGTTTAAAGACGGATCAAAACAGTCGTAATATTCAAATTTCGAACGCGTCAATTAAGACATTCTCGAACGGACAGAAAGTTCGTAAAGTGACATTATTGCCCCGTTAAGAGATGCTCGTTAAAGGCCAATGGCCATAACGATTAGCGATGTCGTACAACGGGGAAGTAGATGCCGAGATCTGATTTTTTTTTATTTACATTGTAAATTCCACCCCGCCCAGCCACGCCACCTGTTGCAAGTTGCAATGGTGCCAACCACTGCATGTAAACTGCCCCCGTTACAATGACTGGGTGTAAACTACCCCCGTTACAATGCTCAACTGTGCTAGTGATAACGGCAAGTGTTAATTAACTATGTAAACAATGGGTACAGAGAAACGGTTGGTGTAAGTTTACCCGTTGAGAAACAGGCCAGTCAACGGCACGTGGGAATTTGGCGGGTAAAACAGACCGTTAAGTCACCTGTTTATGAACATTCAAATTTTAAAAACAAACAAGAATGTTTCGAATAAATTTAAATAAAAAAACGGACACAATAGCCGAAATAAAATAATAAATATACAATCGTTTCATAGGATTAGATTGTTATCTAATCCAATTAGACTTAATTAACAAATTAACGACTGTTTAAGATCTCCGATGGAGATATATATATATATATATATATATATATATATATATATATATATATATATATATATATATATATATATATATATATATATATATATGTCGTACCTAGTAGCCAGAATGCACTTCTCAGCCTACTATGCAAGGCCCGATTTGCCTAATAAGCCAAGTTTTCCCGAATTAATATATTTTCTCAAATTTTTTTCTTACGAAATGATAAAGCTTCCCATTTCATTATGTATGAGGTCAATTTTTTTTATTGGAATTAAAATTAACGTAGATATATGACCGAACCTAACCAACCCTACCTAACCTAACCTAACCTATCTTTATAGGTTAGGTTAAGTTAGGTAGCCGAAAAAGTTAGGTTAGGTAAGGTTAGGTAGGTTAGGTAGTCGAAAAACAATTAATTCATGAAAACTTGGCTTATTAGGCAAATAGGGCCTTGCATAGTAGGCTGAAAAGTACGTTCTGGCTACTAGGTACGACATATATATATATATATATATATATATATATATATATATATATATATATATATATATATATATATATGTATTTTCAGTCGCATATAGTCCTGGGGACCATTCAGGCTTGTTCGCATATATATATATATATATATATATATATATATATATATATATATATATATATATATATATATATATATATATATATATGTCGTACCTAATAGCCAGAACGCACTTCTCAGCCTACTATTCAAGGCCCGATTTGCCTAATAGGCCAAGTTTTCATGAATTAATGGTTTTTCGTCTACCTAACCTACCTAACCTAACCTAACCTAGCTTTTTTTGGCTACCTAACCTAACCTTACCTATAAATATAGGTTAGTTTAGGTTAGGTAGGGTTGGTTAGGTTCGGTCATATATCTACGTTAATTTTAACTCCAATAAAAAAAAATTGACCTCATACATAGAGTAAAGGGCAGCTTTATCATTTCATAAGAAAAAAATTATAGTAATTATATTAATTCAGGAAAACTTGGCTTATTAGGCAAATCGGGCCTTGAATAGCAGGCTGAGAAGTGAGTTCTGGCTACTAGGTACGACATATATATATATATATATATATATATATATATATATATATATATATATATATATATATATATATATATATATATATATATATATATATATATATATATACATACACAGTCGGTGAATTGCGTAGGGTATAGGTATAGGGTATATGATATATGGGTATAGGTATAGGGTGTATGATATATGGGTTATAAGTATAGGGTATATGATATATGGGTATAGGTATAGGGTATATGATATATGGGTTATAAGTATAGGGTATATGATATATGGGTTATATGTATAGGGTGTATGATATATGGGTTATAAGTATAGGGTATATGATATATGGGTATAGGTATAGGGTATATGATATATGGGTTATAAGTATATGATATATAGGTTATAAGTATAGGGTATATGATATATGGGTACAGGGTATATAACGCTGGTCATCGATAGTTTAGATATGACAGATCAGGTGTTTGCTCCGGTTTACACTGCTCCTGTTTACATTACTTCTGTTTACACTGTTCCTGTTTACACTGTTCCTGTTTACACTGTTCCTGTTTACACTGCTCCTGTTTACACTGTTCCTGTTTACACTGCTCCTGTTTACACTGTTCCTCTTTACACTGCTCCTGTTCACACTGTTCCTGTTTACACTGTTCCTGTTTCCACTGCTGTTTCCACTGCTCCTGTTTACACTGCTCCTGTTTACACTGCTCCTGTTTACACTGTTCCTGTTCACACTGTTCCTGTTTACACTGCTCCTGTTTACACTGTTCCTGTTCACACTGTTCCTGTTTACACTGATCCTCTTTACACTGTTCCTGTTCACACTGTTCCTGTTTACACTGATCCTCTTTACACTGTTCCTGTTCACACTGTTCCTGTTTACACTGCTCCTGTTTACACTGCTCCGGTTTACACTGCTCCTGTTTACACTGCTCCTCTTTACACTGTTCCTGTTTACACTGTTCCTGTTTACACTGCTCCTGTTTACACTGCTCCTGCTTACACTGTTCCTGTTTACACTGCTCCTGTTTACACTGTTCCTGTTTACACTGCTCCTGTTTACACTGTTCCTGTTTACACTGTTCCTGTTTACACTGTACACAACTGGACGACACAAACATTGTACATAATTATGAGTGAAGATAACAGAAAGAGCGATAACGACTATTATAATAGATGCAACAATGATAAAAGCGCTGACTACCTGTGATCAAGCTCCTGGGCCCCCACTCTGCCTCACCTGCAAAGGAAACCAAGTACATTAGTGTTTTATACAGGTAAATTACAGGCAAATGGGACACCAGAATACGCTTTTTGTGCTGTGCCTGTACTTCCAAGCCCCTGTACCTGTACTTTGGAGAAAGTGACGATACTGTAAGATCAAGCAGCCTGTAGTGTGGGGTCCACACAGTCAACGTCCAGAAAATGGTCAATTTAAAGTAGTTTATCCTAACCTAGCAGAGGACCCAAAACAGAAAACGGGAGTGTACGTCACTTTTGCCAGCCGCTTCCATTTTCTAGTACAACAGTTTTGGGTCTTATGTAACGCATACGAGCGAAAAGCGACGTTCTGTGTAGGACAGGTTGAACCACCCCGGCCTCTGGTGATTGGTCGTGTACCCTCTGAACCAGCAGTAATTGAAAGTCTGGATGTAAAGTCACTGGCGGACAGTGTTCAGGGAAGAACATGGCGGGGAATAACTTACCCGGCCACTGTACAAGACTCCAGCCCAAAATCCCAACATAGAAGAATAAGTGTCAGAAGACCTTTGGCGCCTTACCAGAGACTAAGTTACAAAGTGGCCGTCACTCGCAGGCTCTTGTTCGGCACACGAAGCCTTTTAGGCTTATTGAGGCCCAACAATTGGCCTTCCCCAGGATGTGATCAACAACACTTGACGGTAGAGCGACGGTAGAGCTTCATGCTAGTCGGCGTTCAGTCCCCGACCGTCCACAAGTGGTTGGACACCATTCCCGCCCTCCGTCCCATCCCAAATCTTTATCCTGACCCCTTCCAAGTGCTACATAGTCATAGTGGCTTGGTGCTTTCTCCTGATTCCTTCCCTTCCCAGGTACCTATTTACTGCTAAGTGAACAAGACATCGGGAGGTCCCTCTCCGACCCTCTCCAGGATTACACCAACTAACTCCTAGGTGCCTATTAACTGCTGGGTGAAGAGAGGCATTAGGCATAAGGAGAAGTAAACAATCGTCTACGTCCTGCATGGGAACCGAACCCGGAATGTTGCAGTTATGAACCGCGGGAATGCATTCCAATCGTTAACGGAACGCGGAGGAGTGAGAAGGTCGGGTGTGTCAGAGGGGCCGCGGTGAGAATAAGAGAGTTACCCCCTATAATGTGGCGGACGGACTGCGTGCTCTCTGGCGGGCGGGTCAGTGCGGCCTGTGGAGCAACACGTCAGCTGGAGAATAGCAGACAGACTAAGAGTGTTTCATCCTCTAGACACACGCCCTGACTGGCTATATAGTCCTGAGAACAGGAGCTGCAGGGTAGATGAATGTTAGGTTTGACCCTGTGGTACTTTAGAACTGTACAGGAGTACACATGAGTACAGTGATCAGCAGAGTGGACCAATAGAGTGGACCAGCACAGTGGACCAGCAGAGTGGACCAGCACAGTGGACCAGTACTGGGCCACGTGGGAGATTGGAGGAACCTGGTTGATGGGATTCTGGGAGTTCTTCTACTCCCCAAGCCCGGCCCGAGGCCAGGCTTGACTTGTGAGAGTTTGGTCCAGCAGGCTGTTGCTTGCAGCGGCCCGCAGGCCCACCACAGCCCGATAGGTCCGGCACTCCTTAGAGAAAATGATCTAATTTCCTCTTGAAGATGTCCTCAGTTGTTCCGGACATCTTCAAGATGTCCGGAACATATTTCTTATACTCGCCGACATATCAAAGTCCCTTGAGACAGAGTCTCGGTACAAAGATATATTCCAGTTAAACTTTCTATGTAAAACAGATTCGCTTAGTTACTGTCTGAAACGCATAGATTATTCTCCAATCTTTCTCTTGTGGAATTATCTGTCATTAACGCTACAAGTCAACTCTCAACACTGAACTAGCATGATTGAACACATGTGTCTAACGAAATTGTTCATCGATTAACGACAGGTTTAACGAATACACAGATGACCAATGGCAGTATATGTGATAAGGGCTTTCTATATGGTAATGAAATAATAATTAGTGTTATGCAGGTCGGCCTTTGACGAGTGCCTCAGAGGTAGACTAGAGGTAGACCAGAGGTAGACTAGAGGTAGACCAGAGGCAGACTACAGCCTGAGAGGTAGACTACAGCCCGAGAGGTAGACCAGAGGTAGACTACAGCCTGAGAGGTAGACCAAAGGTAGACTACAGCCTGAGAGGTAGACCAGAGGTAGACTACAGCCTCAGAGGTAGACCAGAGGTAGACTACAGCCTCAGAGGTAGACCAAAGGTAGACTACAGCCTGAGAGGTAGACCGAAGGAAGACAATTTCCTCACAGCCGCAAGAAGGAACGTCTCAAGACATTACAAGCCGGGGCTCAAGAGCTGGAGCCCAACCCCCCCACACGCCTGCAAGTACGTGAGAACGAACATAAAACCAGACTCCACGTTTCTGCCCCCCCCCCTCCTCCTGGGGCGCAGGGAGGGGGGGGGGGGCAACTGGCAGGGGTGAGTCATAGCTTCCTGTTACCCCCGAGGGCAGGGGGGGGGGGGAGGGGGAGGGGAGGAGGGGGAGAGGTGAAGGATAGAGACCAAGGATGGCAAGAAGGAAGAAGTGAGAGTAGAATAACATGATAGCAGGGGGGGGGGGGAGGATGGGGAGGGTGGGTGGGGGTGTGTAGGTACTCACCTAGTTGTGCTTGCGGGGGTTGAGCTTTGGCTCTTTGGTCCCGCCTCTCAACCGTCAATCAACAGGTGTAGAGATTCCTGAGCCTATTGGGCTCTATCATATCTACACTTGAAACTGTGTATGGAGTCAGCCTCCACCACATCACTTCCTAGTGTGTGTGTGTGTGTGTGTGTGTGTGTGTGTGAAGAGTTTGTGTGTGTGTGTGTGTGTTTTTCCAGGGTGTGTGTGTGTGTGTGTGTGGTGTGTGTGTGTGTGTGTGTGTGTGTGTGTGTGAGTGTGTGTGTGTGTGTGTGTGTGTGTGTGTGTGTGTGTGTGTGTGTGTCTTTACTATTTGTACTGGCAGGATGAAGCTGTTAGCTCTTGGACCCGCCTTTCTTACCCTCAGTAGTCTTATGTACTGACTCCCGATCAAATTTAGTCATATCTACATTTTTTTTTACCCAGACTAGGGTTCATAAGGGCCGTCAACTGACGGACCTGGTGAAACTGCAAGCAAGAGCTGTTATCCTACCTCAGCTCATCTGAAACCTGCTTCTAGAAACTCATATATTTCACGAGAATATCATAATACTACACATAGGATCATGTATCAATCTTCGACGACCCGAATAAGGAATAATTCCGGACCTTGAATACCACATACGTCAGACCATTTTGAAAAATGCAGCGCCGGTGGAGAAAGTTAAGTGGTATGCCAGGAGATTGGTCCCAGAGCTGAGAGGTATGAGGTACCAGGAAAGTAATTGAATATCATGTCACTAGTTGACAGAAAAGAGATGCAAGAAATTATACAAAATTCTCAAGGCAATAGAGATTAAGGCAGACAATGGCAGATATTCTGTACAGTGGTACACGAACACGGGGTCAAAGGTCACAGGGTCACAGGTCACGGGGGTCACGGCTATATACCCCACAAAGACGTTCATGGACATGTTAATTGATATTTTCAGTGACAAAACAGTGAATTTAAGATAACGACGAGAAAGTGATATCCCAGAATGACTAACCACACAGGATCAGGAGCTGGGATATGACGACGAAGCTAAGGTACGGTGCCCAACCACTTGGACCACCGGGGATCGAACTCAGCCCTGTTAGAAGCAACGTCATCGTTCCATCCACCAATAACATGAATGGACAAATGCATAAATGTAATCCAGAAACGTTATGCGTGTTAGGAGGGGCTTACCTTGCTATGATTTCGGGGCTCAATGTCCCTGCGGCCCGGTCCCCGACCAGGCCTCCTGGCCAAGAATGTAAGACTGTGCAAGACTGAACAAAAATGCAAGACTGTACAAGAATGCAAGACTGTGCAAGACTGTACAAGAATGTAAGGCTGTACAAGAATGCAAGACTGTACAAGAATGTAAGACTGTGCAAGAATGTAAGACTGTGCAAGACTGTACAAGAATGCAAGACTGTGCAAGACTGTACAAGAATGTAAGGCTGTACAAGAATGCAAGACTGTACAAGAATGTAAGACTGTACAAGACTGTACAAGAATGTAAGACTGTGCAAGAATGTAAGACTGTGCAAGACTACAAGAATGCAAGACTGTGCAAGACTGTACAAGAATGTAAGGCTGTACAAGAATGCAAGACTGTACAAGAATGTAAGACTGTGCAAGACTGTACAAGAATGTAAGACTGTACAAGAATGTAAGACTGTACAAGAATGCAAGACTGTACAAGAATGTAAGACTGTGCAAGACTGTACAAGAATGTAAGACTGTACAAGAATGTAAGACTGTACAAGAATGCAAGACTGTACAAGAATGTAAGACTGTACAAGAATGTAAGACTGTACAAGAATGTAAGGCTGTACAAGAATGCAAGACTGTACAAGAATGCAAGACTGTACAAGAATGTAAGACTGTACAAGAATGTAAGACTGTACAAGAATGCAAGGCTGTGCAAGAATGTAAGACTGTGCAAGAATGTAAGACTGTGCAAGACTGTACAAGAATGCAAGACTGTGCAAGACTGTACAAGAATGTAAGGCTGTACAAGAATGCAAGACTGTACAAGAATGTAAGACTGTGCAAGACTGTACAAGAATGTAAGACTGTACAAGAATGTAAGACTGTACAAGAATGCAAGACTGTACAAGAATGTAAGACTGTGCAAGACTGTACAAGAATGTAAGACTGTACAAGAATGTAAGACTGTACAAGAATGCAAGACTGTGCAAGAATGCAAGGCTGTACAAGAATGCAAGACTGGCCAAGAATGTAAGACTGTACAAGAATGTAAGACTGTACAAGAATG